TCAATATAGGTAAGCGATGTCGCGGTGAAGGCTGGGCACGCCCCGATAAAGCTGCTAAGTTTGGGCAAATCTATCACTTAAACACGTGTGAAAAAAAGCCCGTAAACTCGATTACATTACCAGAGTAGTCATCAACACCAATGTCAGCTTGCACAAAACACTATGAGTTTCTGACCAAAAGGACCGTTCACGACTCGCTATGGAGTTTGTTTCTGCTTCGCACCTACATGTCAGAAAGTCTCCACCAACGTCACTCCTTTCTCGAAGCTGCAGGGCGCATTATCTACCACTCACCGCCTAGCAGGTGCAAAGTCTAGGAAGAGGAAAGTGAGGCATATAGGTGCTGGCTTATATTCGTGGTGAGGAAGTTCGATCACGGAACTTTGGAGACGTTGGATTTATCGTACACCCATCTGTTGTTCAATCAATATGAGATCCTATCATCTCGCCTGACTATCCTTCGACTCTCTCTGCAACAGAAAACCATCGCTATCTTCACCTGCTATTCTCCAACATCAGCTGCTAATTACTCGGAACTAGATGTTTTTTTATGAGGGTTTGGAGGAAGTCATCCGTAAAGAATGCTTTCACAAATTCGTTGTGAGTGACTTCAACGCGAAAAGCGGAATGAAGAAGAATGGGAGCATAGGACTGGAAGATTTGGGTCAGGACTCGGGAATGAGAACGGTAACTGTCTTTGGACATTTACCGCCGCACGACTTTTTCATGGCAATTCTATCTTCCTGGAGAAAGAACACCGATGGTGGTCACGGTAATCGCCCAACGGTACGACTCATGCGGAGATCGGCCACATGAGTAGTGCCGTTACGCAGCCACGTTCACAACAACCGAAGATGGTGCTTACGGGACGTCTCAGTTGTGCCATCCTTTAGAAGTTGTTTAGATCGCGTCTCGTTTGGCAACAGTGCGATACAATTGGAAAAGAAGGTCTGTCATCGTGTGAGAAGTTAATATGATGGCGTCTTGAAAGATCCCCTGACTACA